GCCCTGTAGATAGGATTTAAAACTAACCCAAGGATGTGTTTGACACACTAGGCTGTTATTTAAAATGGGCCTATCTCATTTAAAAGTGTTAATGTATATACATAGTGGGGAAAACTGTAGAGAAAGGTGAATTTGTGATCATAGCATCCAGGACTCAAGTCCAACTAACCACTTTCTCTAAATTAATTCATAAATGTTACCTTGCTCACATTCCATCAGCATGTTAAGCACTTGTCTTTCCATCTGACACAAGTCTGTCAGATGCTCAAGCCCCTAGCACTCAAAATCTTTATCCCCTTCCTCAACTCCTCTCTACCCCTCATTCCCTCTTCTCTGGCTTTATACAGACTCTTAGTCATCCTGTTGTGCTTCGTCGTGACCCAAAAAGACAGAAAGAAGCCAGAAAGAAAAAACTTTCATCATCATTCAACACTTTTACCATCACTCATGTATAATCACTCTTTGCAGAGGCACTCAGATACGACAGCTTAGACGTCCCTCCAAAATGCCAATATCCCAAACCCCTCCTTTAAAGTACAGGCATTGTACAGTGGTCCCCCGCTTTTCGTACTTCCCGGCAATCGTAAATTTTGCCAATCATAGGGGTATTTTTGTATAAACATGGACTCGCTTTTCATAGGTTGACTTGCGAGTCGTAGTTCGTCTGGGACGCGTACCCACGGCGTGAGCCGGGGCAGCAGCCAGTCTGGCATTGTTTACCAGTGAGCGAAGGTCCCCTCATGTGCTCCAGCGAAATATTTCATAATATTCCATTTATTTTAGTGCTTGCAAGTACTAAATAAGCTACCATGGCTCCAAAGAAAGCTCCTAGTGCCAAGCCCGTGGTAAAGAAGGTGAGAAATACGATTGAATTTAAGAAAACCATCATTGAACAATATGAAAGTGGTACAAGTGTGGCCGAACTGTCCAGGATGTATAAGAAACCCTACACAACCTTATGTTCCATAGTGGCCAAGAAAAAGGAAATAAAGGACGCTGTTGTTGCAAAGGGAGTAACTATGCTGACAAAAATGAGATCACCAGTACTGGAAGAGGTTGAGAAGTTATTATTGGTGTGGATAAATGAGAAACAATTAGCAGGAGATACTCTTATGACTTCGATTATTTGTGAAAAGGCTAGGCAGTTGCATGAAGATTTGGTAAAGAAATTGCCTGCAAATAGTGATGTGAGTGAATTTAAGGCCAGCAAAGGCTGGTTTGAGAGATTTAAGAAGCGTACTGGCATACACAGTGTGGTGAGGCTGCCAGTTCGGACCACAAGGCGGCTGAAAAATATGTGCATGAATTCCAGGAGTACATAGAGGCTGAAGGACTGAAACCTGAACAAGTGTTCAATTGTGACGAAACAGGCCTCTTTTGGAAGAAAATGCCAAAGAGGACCTTCATTACACAAGAGGAAAAGGCAATGCCAGGACACAAGCCTATGAAAGACAGGCTGACGCTAATGTTCTGTGCTAATGCTAGTGGGGATTTCAAAGTGAAGCCATTACTAGTGTACCATTCTGAAAATTCCAGAGTGTTCAGGAAAAACAATGTTATGAAGAGTAAATTGTGTGTGTTTTGGAAATCTAATAGTAAGGCATGGGTCACGAGGGAAATTTTCGTCGAGTGGTTCAATGAAGTGTTTGGCCCTAGTGTGAAGGAGTATCTCCTGGAAAAGAAATTGGATCTCAAGTGCCTGCTAGCAATGGACAATGTACCTGCTCATCCTCCAAACTTGGATGACCTAATTTTCGAGGAGTTTGGGTTCATCACAGTAAAGTTCCTGCCCACGAATACCACTCCTCTCCTCCAACCCATGGACCAGCAAGTTATTGCAAACTTAAAAAAAACTACACAAAAGCAATGTTTCACAGGTGCTTGACTGTGACCACAGACACTCACTTGACCCTAAGGGAATTTTGGAGAGAACACTTCAGCATCCTCCATTGCATAACCCTTATAGGTATGGCTTGGGAAGGAGTGACTACCAGGACTTTGAACTCTGCCTGGAGAAAATTGTGGCCAGATTGTGTCGACAAGAGGGATTTTGAAGGGTTTGGGACTGACCCTAATGAGCCTATGTCTGTTGTAAAATCAATTGTGACACTGGGGAGTTCCATGGGGTTGGATGTGAGTTTGGAGGATGTGGAAGAATTGGTGGAAGACCACAGTGAAGAGCTCACCACTGAGGAGCTGCAAGAGCTTCAGCAGGAAGAGCAACACATCACAGCTCAGAATCTTGCTGCAGAGGAGGAGGAAGAGAGATGGAAAAAGGTGCCTTCAGAAATTAAAGAGATTTTTACTATGTGGGGTAAGATGGAAAGCTTTATGGAGAAACATCACCCTAACAAGGTTGTTGCAAGCCAGGTTGGCAACATGTACATTGACAAAGTCTTGGGCCATTTTAGGGAAGTGTTAAAGAGAAGCCAGAAACAGAGCTCTCTCCACAGTTATTTTGCGAGACAGGACTCCAGTGACTCTCAAGGTGGTCCTAGTGGCATTAAGAAACAGAGAAGAGAAGCAACCCCAGAAAAGCAAATGGTACCTGAGGTGTTGATGGAAGGGGATTCCCCTTCCAAACTATAAACAATCCACTCTCTCTCCTCCTCCAGTCTCCCATACACTAAGAAGAATCTCCAATAAAGGTAAGTGTTATGCTGTTAATGTTTCATTCATCATTTCCCATTGTATTGTTTATGTACTACATGTATATTTCATGTAAAATTTTGTTTTGTTTTAATACTTCTGGGTGTCAGGAACGGATTAATTGTATTTACATTATTTCTTATGGGGAAAATTGATTCGTAAATCGTAAATTTCGTTTATAGTAATGGCTCCAGGAACGGATTAATTACGAAAAACGAGGGACCACTGTACTTCCCATTTCTATGACTCAAGTCCGGCTAACCAGTTTCCCTGAATCCCTTCACAAAATATTACCCTGCTCACACTCCAACAGCTCATCAGTCCCAAAAACCATTCGTCTCCATTCATTCCTATCTAACATGCACGTGCACGCTTGCTGGAAGTCCAAGCCATTCACCCACAAAACCTCCTTTACCCTCTCCAACCTTTTCGGGCACGACCCCTACCCTGTCTTCCTTCCCCTACGGATTTATATGCTCTCCAAGTTATTCTACTTTATTCCATTCTCTCTGAATGACCAAACCACCTCAACAGCCCCTCTTCAGCCCTCTGACTAATACTTTTAGTAACTCCACACCTCCTCCTAATTTTTCACACTACGAATTCTCTGCATAATATTTACACCACATATTGCTCTTAGACACGACATCTCCACTGCCTCCAGCTGCCTCCTCGCTGCAGCATTTACAACCCATGCTTCATACCCATATAAGAGTGTTGGTACTACAGTGGACCATTATATTACACGGATTTATTTGCTACTTTTGGTTATTGCACCATTGAAAAATTGTGGCACAATTTTATACAACACTTTGTAAAATTAACTTTACATGGTTCTGTTTGTGGGCGTGGAAAAAATTTCCTCAGCTCAAGCTGCCACCTTGTTGTGGGTCAGCAGGGGAAGCCTGCCACCATCCCCTGCCACCCTGACTGACTGACTTGACTGATTTACTGACTGACTGACTTAAAGTTAGACTTTTTCACCGAAGAGGTCCCTGAAACGGTGTTTAGAGCAGCTGATACCTTGCCGCCATTTGTATAATGTACTGCAGGGTAAAATAGAACAGAAATCCATTATAGGAATTATGCACACACCAGTACAACCACCGACTTCAGTACCAGAGCCTCTACCATCCACCTCAGCTCAGTAGGTCCACAGCATAACTATCCACTTTTTTATTTTTGTAAGATCTTGAGGTCTAAAAAAAAAAAAATTGTATGGCTTTTTGGGGGCTCCCAGGAATGTTACCTATTTTTCCCATAAGTTCTTCAGTTTATCTATCATGGATTTACGTAACACTGTTTTCAGGAACATGACTACCGTGTAATATAACGGTCTATTGTATTATACTTTCATACATTCCCTTCTTTGCCTCCATGGATAACGTTTTTTTTATCTCCACTTACACACCACTCGCCTTTTTTCTTTCATCAGATCTATGATTAACCTCACCCTTCATAAACCCATCCTTTAGTAACCCCACACTGTTTTCTAATTTCTACACTCACAAGTATCATTGACTACTTTATATGTCAAACATATAATTCTCTGGTCTTACCCTTGCTGCAGACTGATTTCTTAACTGATACCTAAATATTTGCTTCGTCAGCTGTAATTCTCGTTCTTTCAAGTGTCTTTCCTTCAACACTATGCTGTCCTTCCCACATTTCTTTCCCATCTGCTGTGCAGCATTAAAAAACCTTATGGATATACGTAGTGCTCTCCATGAAAATGATATTTCTCTTTATTGTCAATGTTAATTCACATACTAACTTAACCTGGATGTTTATTAGAAATATTTTGTCTTCATATATATAACCGGACTTGAGTCCTGGAAATGGGAAGTACAATGCCTGCACTCTAAGGAGGGGTTTGAGATATTGGCAGTTTGGAGAGATATACAGTGGACCCCCGGATAACGATATTATTTCAATCCAGAAGTCTGTTTGGGTGGCGTTATAGACCGAATTAGTTCCCATAAGAGATATTGTGAATTAGATTAGTCCGTTTCAGACCCCCAAAAATACACCTATAAAAGCACTTACAAAAATACACTTACATAATTGGTCGAGTTGGGAGCTGATCGTTATGCGGGGGTCCACTGTATTGTGTATCTTTATACATATATACTTCTAAACTGTTGTAATTCTGGGCACTCTGCAAAAACGTGATTATGTGAGCGAGGTAAAGTGTTGAATGATGTAAAGTATTTTTCTTTTTGGGATTTTCTTTCATTTGGGTCACCGCTAGGTTGGGAGACAGCGACTTGTTGAAAAAAAAAAAAATTGTTATGCTTGTTTAACTGTATGATTTTCTGACAGACCTCACATACCAGTTACTGGATTGCACCGTTGTCGTTCCTTGGCATAAGCGATCTTTCTCAAACTGGTGCAAAAAAGAAGGCTAATGAGAAGGAGAAGTGGACATGTCAGAACTGCAAGTGAGCCCTGAGCCAGATTAGTATTGTTGGAACTAATTTTGATTTCATTCATAATTATAATTAAAAAGAAAAGTGCAGTATATGATAGTGTAATATATTTGGGATAAGAGAAGTGAAGAGTGATATTGGATGAAAGTGTATGGCTGGGATATGTTGAATTTGGACAACACATCTCAGCCAGCTGTATACTCTTATGTTCTCTTTTGTTAATGTTCCAGTTTTCATTACTCACTACAGTAATTCCTTTATCATCTCTCTATAATTGACATTCATAAATATATTCTGTAGTGAAAAGAAAATATGCCTTTGTTGACATAAGATAATATTTCAGGTAGTGTCCTGTCTTTTTTTTTTATAAGTTAAGATTTTAGTTTCTTTATTTATTTTTTCCTCCAGGTTTCTGAATGTTTGTCATGCCAGTGAATGCATCATCTGTGGCTGTGGTGCTGATCCGGGCAACAAGCTGTCCTTAGTACCCCGGGAAATTCTCAGTCCAGTTGCTGACGAAAATGGCCCCACTTCTCGGCAAGCATTATCGAGGGTCTTCGCCAAGGCAAACATGAGCTCAAACAGTCTAGTCTCCAAAGCGGTGAAGCTCAGTTGGAAGTGTAAACAGTGCCGGCACTATAACTCGGCACATAGCTCAACATGCTCATCATGCATCAAGCTGATCGGTAGTAGTGGCAGTAGTAGCAGCAGCGGTCTGACTGTAGGTTACAGTATTCCAGTAGAGAATGCCATTACACCTGTGGAGGAAGTGGAAGGATCATTGATGGTGGAAAACAGTCTTTATTTTCTTGGAAATAATGCTTCTGCATTAACTTCCCCTGACACAGAATGTAACCGTTCACCAAAGAGGCAAATTTCTTGTACTTATGGTCAGTTGCGATCTAAGTTGAGCAAATCAGAAGATAAACCAGTGTATGTGTCAGTGTCATCAAGGGTTTCAGAAAGAACAAACAGTTCGAACTTTGATAGTTTGGTTGTAAAACTTGATGCTAACAAAAATTACAGTGTTCACTGTAGTAATGATAATGAGGAGGTAGAGACGTGGGTGTGTAAAAGGTGCACGCTTAAAAATCCTATTGACTTTGAATATTGTGAAGTGTGTGATGCTCCTCGAAAACCAAACATACCAACTACTCTGCCAAAGAAAACTAAAAACATTCTTGGTATTTCAGGTAATGATATAGAAAATGGTAATGGTGAAACTGTTACTAGTCAAAAATCATGTATTAAGCACCACACTAGAAAAACTTGTCTTCGTAAATCTGCAAGTGATGCAACAGATTTAAACATTGCTGAATCTCTTGTCAAGTTTGTTGCCAGTAGACTCTCTTCACCATCAGAATCAAATATGTCAGGCCCAGCAAAAGTTGTGCAGGAATCTAAGCCAGAGAATATGATAGCAGTTTCACCACCCATGGTGGACCTCACACGTGCTGCAAGTCAGGAAGAATATACTCTGGCTGAATCTGATATGTGGTCGTGTAGCTTTTGCTCTTTTGCTTACAATCCTTCATGGTCAGAAACTTGTGACATGTGTAGTAGTACTAAGGAACGAGAAAAGAGTCCAAAAACGCAAGAAGTGTTAAATCAAGGTCTGGATGAGGACTTTCAGTTGCTAACAACAGATCTTGCAGAAGAAGGTAACTCACCAGATCAAAGTTGGACATGTATTAAGTGTACATTAGTAAATCCTGGTGTGGAAAATGCATGTAAGGTGTGTGGGGGTTCTAGACTAAAGAGTATCTGCTATGTTGATGATGCTACATTGAAGCGAGGAGAGTTCTGGACATGTGTAGTGTGTACTTTAAAGAATCCCATTTTTGCTAGACGTTGCAAGGCATGTAAAGCCAAGGTTGACGCACTGGTGGTACAAGAGATAAACTCAGTTCAAATAATGAATCTAAACTAAAGGATTCAAGACCAAAATCTGAACATATCAACAGCCCAAGCTGGAGTATTGGTGCTCAAAAATCCCCAAGTTTGCAGAGAATGAGTCTAATGGACACTTCGGCTGCTGATGGTGGTAGGACAGTTCCCCAAATAGATAATCAAAATGGCGCTCAGTGCAACGACACATCTCGGGGAAATGGAGCCATACCTAAGTCAAATACAGTTGCAGGCTGCCAGATTTCAACTGTGCCCCAACCTTCCAGGTCACCATCATCCATGCCAAGTTCTCCTGTGGCTCGACCTAAAGAAGTGCTCACCTCTGCATCGTCTACCTCCTCTTGGAACTGTAGTGCCTGTACTTTCAATAACAGTGCCAGTGCTGTGTCATGTTCTATGTGTGGCTCTTCGCCAACTTTAGGAGATGTTGAGATTAGTTGGCCGGGTGACCGAACTTACAGAGGGCACTCTGAGTTGATGGATGTACTTAGGGAAATGGAGGTGCAAGATGCACTCAATAGGTGGACAAGAATTGTTCAGTACTGCAAAGTGGTGAGTAACTAATGAGTCCACAATTTTTATTACATGTTATTAATAATCTTGTTTGTACTGTTAGCCATTAACCCCTTGACTGTCACAACCCCCAATCCTGAGGTGTCTCCCAGTGTCGCAAAATTAAAAAAAAAAAAAAATTTCTTATGAAATGATAGAGAATCTTTTCCCGATTGTAATGCCACCAAAAAAAAAAAACGAAATTTGATGGATTGTATCCGAGTTTCAGAAATTGAATTCTGCCTTTGTTAACACAGTTGGATTTGTGTTTAAATGGCATTATTATGGGGAATTAGAATATGTGGTGCTCATTCTTGTAACTTGATGGTTGCTATTCATCTTAACCCTTAAATGGTCCAAACGTATATATACGTTCTCGTGCGTAGCTCCCCAAACGTATATTATGTTTTCTTTGTCATTCATTCAACGTTGCCACGATAAGCCTGAGTCACCTAGACATGAGAGAATGGGTGTGCGCACTCACTGTGCGCCATATTAAAATAATTGGGGATGCCTGGGTACCATATGCTCTTTTTTCCTATTAAAAAAAGACAATTTTTTTCTGTCAAAAAATTTGGGGCGCTACGCGAGTGAACGTATATATACGTTTGGACTGTTTAAGAGTTAATCTTGATTCCACACACACACACACTGGGAATTGCCGGGTGACTGCAACTGCTGTGCTTATTGTGCATGGAGATCCATGTACCCTTTGTTTCTGCTTGCCTGGAAAATGAGTAGATTGAGTTAAAATAGAAGATTAGGTACTGGCCCTGTTGAATCAGTTGGTTATTCACTTACGGCAGCCCTTTACTTCACAACCCCCCTACACTCTCAACACACACTTCTAGCACTATCAAACAGTCTACCACACAAATCTCTTCCTACATTGCCTCTACCACCCCATATACATTTTATTGATTACCTTAACCCTTAAATGGTCCAAACAAATCAGCGTTCAAATTCGTAGTGCTACAAAAGTAGATTACTTTTTTTTACATATTTTCAAATGTAACAAAAAAAAATGTAAATAAAAGTTTTTGTTACATACTTTCAGATGTTGAAAAAACGTATATATACGTTTGGACCATTTAAGGGTTAATTTATATCCACCATCTACCACAATATGACAGCATTATTGGTAAACAATATTGGCAGTATAATAGTGAAAAATTAGAGGACACAGGAATCGGGGAAAACTTCAAATGTTGATTTCTCAGTTTTCTCCTTATCAATTTCTTCTAGAATAACATTATTACTACTGTACTACAACAATGACAACAGCAATAACAGTGCAACAAACAACAAAAATGACAACAACAATGACAGCAAAGACAGGGCCTCCTCCTCCTCCCAGTTATAATAATAATAATGTTTATTTCTTTATGCTGCACAAAAATGTGGTTTAAATGAAAGCCACAAATTATACAGTTTATTTTGGGCAACTAATCATAAGGCTTACATTAAGGAGGACTTCTTATGCAGTTGGCTACAATCGTAAATACAATAGGAAAGGTAGTTAATGACCAAAGGCCAATTACTAAAGAATTACTTATTATTTAAACTGATTGAATGATCGTCAGTTTTGTGGAGCGACTGAAAAAGAGATGGTGAACATAGAGCAAGTCACTTATATCACAATACAAATGAAATGGGACAAGATATAAAAAATAAATATTCTTTTACAGTCGGTTGGCCCCTATCTCAAAAGCCTCATACAATGAAACCACTCCTAGTGCAAAGTGATATTCTGCATTCTTGAATTTTTGTTGTTGTCCCAGTCACTATACCACAGCACATGTTTATTTAGACACATTTTAGAGCAATCTCCTCTTTGTACCTCCCTTCCTCACACCCTTTATCTTTAACTGGCATGCAAGCCTTAATTATGCTGCTGCCTGTTCTGCTTTTATTAGGTGATTTTAACTCTTTATTTACTATGGGGATGTTCTCACTGAGACTCAGAGATACATGTTGGTCTTTTCTCACCTAACTGCCTCTGTTTTGATCACTGGCATTCCAGCACATCTAGATTCTTGAATCCACACACTCAGTATGGATCTCTCTGTCTCCTCTGTCTGTAATGCTAGGGTTTGATTGGATTCCTAATAAGTCCATAAAATCAGTCATTTCCCTACTGTCATTAATTTCCACTATTCTCATTAATTCCCAACCTTGCTGGCCTGGTGGCAGTTTGAATGTACAGATTGAACACAGTGAGTAGTTTTCCATGAATGCAGTGCACTCTAATAGTAAGTTTTTTTTTTAACCAAATTGCAATTGAGCTTCTGAATGTCTTCCTTCACTGTTAGTGTGGGAAGTGGTACTCTTGTGTCTGCTTATTAGCCACACTAGACACACACATGGTGACTTCTAGACCGAGATAAGAGGCCAAACATTCCAATTTTTTTTTTTTTTTTGACTGAGAAATAAAATTTAATGGATTTCTTGTGCTCTGCTAATTGAAAACATGTGTAGTGTTATAAGTATTTGATGATTATTACACAAACAGCTCATCCTTTTAACCACAACATCATGGCACTGTTGTAAAAACAGTTTGGGGGGGGGGGCAGAATTTTTATCATTTATCATTCAAGTTTTTCCACTGTAGCCTAACCCAGCCCAACTTAGCTTAGAAATAAGCTAGAAGCCTTGTATGAAAGTATGACATAGTTAATAGGAGGATGGGTTGTGCACAAGCTAAGATGTAGAAAAAGACGTATACAGTTCAGGACATTTATTATTATTATAATAAAAAAGAAGCGCTAAGCCACAAGGGCTATACAGCGCTGTCAGGACATTTATTAAAGGAAATGTTTCACCACAAGTGGCTTCTTCAGCTAAATTGTTCCAAAGAAATGCTTATTGTCCTGTGACCTAACAATGACTCAGGTCATAACTCTTGATCTTTAGGTCAAACTGAGCTAAGAATTCTAGACATGAGCTTAGAGCATAAGATATCCTGGAATACCAAAACTGTACTATATAATATTACATTGGGTCCTTCATATTTCTCCCATTTTACCTCTTGGATGCACCATTGACTTTCTTAAGTGTTACAGTATCATTAATACACAGCTAATGAGGCTGCTGTATTTAATTTTTTACTCTTTTTACAGAACCAACATCCATTTGTAGATGATTCCTTTCCTCCTGTGCCGAAGTCTCTATTCTACAGCTCCTCTGAGAAGAATGAGTCCCGTGTAACACAGTGGCTACGTCCTCATGAAATTGTCACCGATTCAGATAACCGAAACATTAAGTGGGCAGTCTTCAGAACTCCTCTTCCATCTGATATTTCACAAGGTATTTTTTAATGATGAGTTTTTTAACAGTGGCTGTCTCTCACCAAGGTAGGCAGGTGAATCCCCCATAAAAATGTATGATAAAACTAATCGATATTTAAGTGCAGTAGGTAAACACACTCTTTGTTTCAGACATCACATTCATATATTGAGTTTTCTTAATGTGTATTAAAAACAAAAAGGAATTTTGTCGTAGGATGGTCTGCTCTGTGAAAAAACTAGGCATAAAATTTATAATCTGGTAGTATTACAAGTAGGCTTTCTTCCACACATTGTTGGTACTTTTTCTTTATTCAAAATTCAACATAAGTCATTAATATATTCTCTGAGGTGGCCCAGTAAATTATAAGTGGGAAATGTCTTTCTCCAGCGATGTCCGTGTTGCATGTTGAAATGTAAGTACAGCATTTGGGATACCATTCACATTCATGTTTCTTTTTTTTTTTTTAACAAGTCGGCGTCTCCTACCGAGACAGGGTGACCCAAAAAAGAAAGAAAATCCCCAAAAACGAGAAATACTTTCATCATTTCAACACTTTCCACCTCACTCACACATAATCACTGTTTTTGCAGAGTGTCAAAATCAACAGATTAGATGCTTATACGTATAATAGATACAACAACATTTCCCTCCAAACTGCTAATATTCCTAACCCCTCCTTTAGAGTGCAGGCTTTGTACTTCCCATTTCCAGGACTCAAGTCCAGCTATAATAAAAAAATAACCGGTTTCCTGTAATCCCTTTTTGCCAATATTACCTGTCACACTCCAACAGATCATCAGGCCCCAAATACCATTAGTCTCCATTCTCTCCTATCGAACACACTCCATGCACCCCTGCTGGGAAGTCCAAGCCCTCACCCACAAAACCCCCTTACCCCTTTCCTTCCAACCTTTTTCGAGGATGACCCCTACCCTGCCTTCCTCCCCTACATGATTTTTTTTATACGCTTCTCCATGTCCATTCTACTTTGATCAATCTCTCTAAAATGACCAAACCACCTCAAACAGCCCCTCTTCAGCCCTCTGACTATTACTTTTATTAACATCCAACACTTCTCCTACTTTCCACACTCTGAATTTGCTGCATAATATTTACACCACACATTGCCCTTAGACAGGACATCTCCACTGCCTTCAACTGCCTCCTTGCTGCTTCATTTACAACCCAAGCTTCACACCATATAAGAGTGTGGTGCTACTTTACTTTCATACATTTCCCTTCTTTGGCCTCCATAGATAAACATTTTTGTCTCCACATTACCTCAAGGCACACTTACCTTTTTTCCCTCATAACTCTAGGATTAACCTCATCCTTCATATATCCATCTGCTGACACGTCAACTCCCAAGTATCTGAAAACATTCACTTCTTCCATACTACTCCTCCCCAATTTGATATCCAGTTTTTCTTTATCTAAATCATTTGATACCCTCATCACCTTATTCTTTTCTATGTTCACTTTCAACTTTCTACCTTTACACACACTCCCAAACTCATCCACTAACCTTTACAATTTTTCTCTGGAATCACCCATGAGCACAGTATCATCAGAAAAAAGCAACTGTGTCAATTCCCATTTTGTATTTGATTCCCCATAATTTAATCCCACCCCTCTCCCGAACACCCTAGCATTTACTTCTTTTACAACCCCATCTATAAATATATTAAACAACCATGGTGACATTACACATCCCTGTCTAAGACCTACTTTTACTGGGAAGTAATCTCCCTCTCTTCTACACACCCTAACTTGAGCCTCACTATCCTCATAAAAGCTCTTTACAGCATTTAGTAACTTACCACCTATTCCATATACTTGCAACAACTGCCACATTGCTCCCCTATCCACTCTCATATGCCTTTTCTAAATCCATAAATGCAATAAAAACTTCCCTACCTTTATCTAAATACTGTTCACATATATGCTTCAACGTAAACACTTAATCTACACATCCCCTACCAACTCTGAAACCTCCTTGCTCATCTGCAATCCTACATTCTGTCCTACCTCTAATTCTTTCAATTATAACCCTACCTTACACTTTTCCTGGTATACTCAGTAAACTAATTCCTCTATAATTTTTACAGTCTCTTTTGTCCCCCTTCCCTTTATATAAAGGGACTATACATGCTCTCCGCCAATCCCTAGGTACCTTCCCCTCTTTCATACATTTATTAAACAAAAATACCAACCACTCCAACAATATATCCCCCCCTGCAATAATATTATGTAGTATTATTGTGAATATGATAACTGTGTACAATACCGACAAGTTCATAAGTAATACACGTGCAATAGTTAGGTATCTTCATTCGACTGAAGAAGCCTACTGTGTAGGTGAAATGTTTTGGAATGAAGATGCCTAACTGTTGCACGTGCGTCTTACTTATCCATGTATAATAATACTAATTAATTAATGGACTAAGAGTTATCCTATTCCTTCCTCTACCACCAGCACGAGTAACCTTATGCACCCCAAAGCTAATCAGGTTATTTAATAAATTAATAATTTGTTAAAATAATTAATGAGAGCTCTTTGTATGTGTGAGCTTGTCTAAAGTGTAGTAGAATATACACATATACTACATCTGTGTTTTGTTTGTCACATGCAGTTCTGTTTTAAGTAATACACTACAAAAATTAGGGATGTAAAAATAGTACCTTAATAATGTAATTCTTGCAAGACTATAAAATTGAGGTACATATGAAACTGACATGTGCACTTCTTTTACAGGTGTTTTGGGTAACTGTTGGCTGCTGAGTGCATTGGCAGTATTGGCTGAGAGGGATGATCTTGTTAAGAAGATCATGGTTACTCGAGAATTTTGCCCAGAGGGTGTCTATCAGGTGGGGTCCTAATGAGATATAATAATTTTTTTTTATAACATGGCCATCTCCCACTGAGGCAGGGTGACCCCCAAAAAAGAAACACTTTCACCATCATTCACACATAATCACCGTCTTGGCAGAGGCGCCCAGATACAACAGTTCAGATGTCACGCCAAACAGCCAATATCCCAAACCCCTACTTTAAAGTGCAGGCATTGTACTTCCCACCTCCAGGACTCAAGTCCGCTAACTGGTTTCCCTGAATCCCTTCACAAACTGTTACCCTGCTCACACTCAAATAGCTTGTCAAGTCCCAGAAACCATTCATCTCCATGCACTCCTATCTAACATGCTCAGACATGCCTGTTGTATATCCAAGCCTCTTGCACACACAATCTCTTTCACCCCCTCCCTCCATCCTTTTCTAGGGCAACCCCTACCCCTCCTTCCCTCCACTACAAATTTATACACCTTCCAAGTCATCCTATTTTGCTCCATCCTCTTTAATATTAAAATGGTAAAATTTATGTTTACAGCCTCTCCTCACTTAACGACAGAATTGCGTTCCTAAGACCACGTCGGTAAAAGAATTCATCGCTAAGTGAAAGTGAGGATCATACTATAATGGTAGTGTTTTTTTTTTTTTTCCATCTTTGATATTGTTTTAATGTCACCTTTGCACCATTTATAACATTTTTAGTATATTTTTAAATATTTATACAGTAGTGTACTGTGTACGTATTGTAATAAACAGAATAGATGAAATCAGCTCTAATATACATTAGTTATGCATACTGGTCAGAGAGCCCGTCGTAAGTACGAGTCATCGGTAAACGAGTACATCATTGAATGAGGAGAGGCTGTATTAAATTTGTATTGTGAAAATGCTTGGATCTTTTACTAAAATATGATTTTTTTTTTTCAACAAACTGGCCGTATCTCACCAAGGCAGGGTGATCTAAAATGAAAAACAAAAGTTTTCTCATTTAAAACTTAGCAATTTATATAGGAGAAGGGGTTACTAGCCCCTTGCTCCCGGCATTTTAGTAGCCTCTTACGATGTGCATGGCTTATGGGGGAAAGAATTCTGTTACACTTTCCATGGAGACAAAAATATGATAAGTAACATTAATTATGTATGATTTTGTGTGATTCAAGTTCTTAATATCTGCTATGTATTTATTGCTTGTGTTATGCATATGATTACATTAATACTTACATGTTCTTCACTTTACACAGAACATGTGTTCTGAAAAAACACCGTGTAATGTGACCCCGTGTTATTGTGTGTAACTCATTTTTTACATAGTCAAAGGGAAGATTAAATTCCAATCCCTCACCCAGACCCAGTATTCTTTTACCTATCTTACCAATGAACTCTTTTTTTTTTTTTTTTTTTTTTTTTTTTTTTTTTTTTTTTTTTTTTTGTGTGTGTGTGTGTGTGTGTGGGGTGTGTGTGTGTGTGTGTGTGTGTGTGTGTGTGTGTGTGTAAAAAGTTGGCCGTCTCCCACCGAGGCAGGGTGACCCCAAAAAAAAGAAAATCCCCAAAAAGAAAATACTTTAATCACCATTCAACACTTTCACCTCACTCATACATAATCACTGTTTTTGCAGGTGTGCTCAAAATACAACAGTTTAGAAGCATATACGTATAAAGATACACAACATATCCCTCCAAACTGCCAATATCCCAAACCCCTCCTTTAAAGTGCAGGCATTGTACTTCCCATTTCCAGGACTCAAGTCTGGCTATATAAAAATAACAGGTTTCCCTGAATCCCTTCCCTAAATATTACCCTGCTCATACTCCAACAGCTTGTCAGGTCCCAAATACCATTCGTCTCCATTCACTCCTATCAAACACGCTCACGCATGCTTGCTGGAAGTCCAAGCCCCTTGCCCACAAAACCTCCTTTACCCCCTCCCTCCAACCTTTTCGAGGATGACCCTTACCCTACCTTCCTTCCCCTACAGAAAACTCTTTGCAAGAAACCTAGTCGTCTTCCTTTCTTTCAACACACCAGCCGTATCCCACCAAGGCAAGGTGGCCCAAAAGGAAAAACTAAAGTTTCTCCTTTTACATTTAGTAATACTGTATATGCAGGGTTACTAGCCCCTTGCTCCGGCATTTTAGTCACCTCTTACGACACGCATGGCTTACAGAGGAAGAATTCTGTTCCACTTCCCCATGGAGATAAGAGGAAACAAACAAGAACAAGAATTAGAAAGAAAATAGAAGAAAACCCAGAGGGGTGTGTATATATATGCTTGTACATGTATGTGTGGTGTGACCTAAGTGTAAGTAGAAGTAGCAAGACGTACCTGAAACCTTGCTTGTTTATGAGACAAAAAAATGGACACCAACAATTCTACCATCATGTAAAACAATTACAGGCTTTCGTTTTACACTCGCTTGGCAGGACGGTAGTACCTCCCTGGGTGGTTGCTGTTTACAAACCTACTACCTAGAAGAAACCTAGTATGATGATAAAATGCATCATGAAACTAGGATTCCTCTTCCAAACCAGCTGGTACTATGTTCTCAGTTGTAAGTCTGATTTTTAGAGAGAGGGAGGAGAGAGAGAGAGAGAGAGATGAGTGTGTGTGAATGAGATAGATAGATATGTATATGTATTTATGCTATACAGAATACTATATGTATATGTAACTTATTCATTTGCCTTATCTTTAATTTTACTTTTTAAGTAATAATTGGGTTTTATTCAACGAAGGTGCGTCTGTGTAAGGCAGGACGTTGGGTTACTGTGTTAGTGGATGACCTCCTTCCCTGTGACCGTCATTGTCGCCTGGTATATTCCCAAGCCAAGCGACGTCAGCTGTGGGTACCTCTCATTGAGAAAGCTGTAGCTAAAGTTCATGGGTGTTATGAGGCTCTGGTGTCTGGCCGTGCTATAGAGGGACTGGCCACGCTCACTGGAGCACCGTGTGAGAGCCTTCCATTACAGGTATGCTTTAGTCGCTAGAATTTTCAGGTTTTTAACTTTCACTTTTTGTTGCACAAGAAGAATGATCACTCCCAAGATTGTTAAAGTCCTCACCATCAGGCCCATGAGAAAATGTTTTTCCTGATACACATGAAAAAATTGTAGTTCCCAAGTGCTATAAGCTGTGCTGCCTGCATAATATTTTCCACTCTTTACATCTATGAACTTTCTTAGTTCATAATAATTAACATGTACAGTATAACAAAATTCTGAAATGACACTACATATGGTAGAAGTGGAATATTTACATAACCTGTCTTTCTTCTCAGTGGGGTTTTCTTGAAAGTTACAAAGGCTATGATATATGCTTCCAGTTTGTATGTGCTTTATCTGTGGTGATGTGAAGCACAGTACTTTATATATTGAGTTGTTGATGATGATGTATGAGGCTTTTTTTTGAAAGTGTGATGAGGGCTGAGCTGATGGTGGACTCTGGTTATCTCTGGAGTGACCATGCTCTCAGAGGGTGAGTGGAGGAGATAGCTGCTGATACATTAAAGTATCCTATATTCCTATATTAAGGAAGACTTGCTGATTCTCCATACTACAAAGATTTGTTTAATTTGATGAGTTTTGCATTTTGATTTATTATTTGGTTATTTTTCAACACAGCTGTCATAAAAATATACAGACACAGTATTTTAAGTGATTAGCTAATTACGTATAACTCGTATATGTAATGTTTTAACCTATTCAAATGTTTAAAATAGCATACTGTAATTCTTGTATATGTATATTTCACCATTTGGTTTAAAGGCTTTTTCTAAAGACTTCTTTTAAAGTGATTTTTGTATGGTGCCTTCGTATTCTTGTATAATAATAAACAAGATTATATTATAACTTGTGTTCTATCAAGCGTGTTGTCCTCAGTTTGTGACAGACACGAATCACATGTTTCCCACCATCCAGGCCTCCTCTTCTCCACACGAGGATGATATAGATGAGGATTTAATATGGGCACAGCTACTGAGCTCCCGTTCAGCTGGCTTCCTTATGGGAGCATCATGTGGGGGAGGCAATATGAAGGTGGTGGATGAAGAATACAAGTCTCAGGGCTTGAGACCAAGGTGAGGATACAGATTGCTCAACAAAGATCTCTTGGTAAACTTTAATACAGTGAGTCTCTCATATTCATTGTAACATTAGACAGAAAAGCTATTGCTTCATAATTGTACAATTGCCAAATAATGGTACCAGTGGAAATACAGTGGACCCCCGGTTAACGATATTTTTTCACTCCATAAGTATGTTCAGGTGCCAGTACTGACCGAATTTATTCCCATAAGGAATATTGTGAAGTAGATTAGTCCATTTCAGACCCCCAAACATACACGTACAAACGCACTTACATAAATACACTTACATAATTGGTCGCATTCGGAGGTAATCGTTATGCGGGGGTCCACTGTACTAGCATTTTTCATAATAATGAGAATCGTGAGGCCTCCGTCAGCTTGTCATGAAGCAGGTGATTTTCTGTATATACTGAGAAATAGGCATAAATGCAGTTATACAGAAGCTTTATTGATGATGTTTTGTCAGTGCAGGGACTATAACTACATTTGTATCTCTCTCTCTCTCATTGTAAGGTATTTTATACTATTACCTAATCATTGTGCCTATTGAAATTATACCCAGATGCTTATTATTTCATAATAATGAGCTAATTTATTCCCTCTCTCTGAGCTGTATGAACCTTGAAAACTACATGTTCATTACTGTATAAATGAATTTATAGCAAAGATTATTCGTTTATTGAAATTGTGATGTTGGTGCTTTTCTGTAGTGTAGGCACGCCTCTGGCAAGACAGTGATGGAGTGAATGATGATGAAAGCATCCCTTGGTGGGAAACAGCCAGTGTGGTAATAAAAATTAAATAAATAAATATTGGCCATCCACCAGCCTTGTGTGAATGCATTAGATAGGAGTGAGGTGAGGCAAGTGGATTTTATGACCGTGCTGTTGGAGTGCAAGCAAGGTAACATTTATGAAGATGTTGCAGTTCGGAGTGCCAGCTGAACTGTGATGTCAACACATATCTGGCAGAACAGTGATTGAATGAGTGACAGTGAAAGTGCTTTTTTTTTTTTCAGCTTACCCTGCCTCAGTGGAAGATGGGTAGAATGTTAAAAATTTATTTATCTTTCAGACATGCTTACTCAGTATTAGATGTTCAAGATATTGGTGGGTTTCGGTTACTAAGGCTTCGCAACCCATGGGGTCACTATTCATGGCGTGGGGACTGGTGTGATGAGTCTCCCGTATGGACCGCTGAGCTCCGTGAGAAACTCATGCCCCAGGGTGGCAGTGATGGCGTCTTTTGGATCTCTTTCCAGGATGTCCTCAAGTGTGTTCATTTTTATATTTTGTAGAAATAGTTCATAATTATTAATCTGGAGATGTAGGCATAGCCAGTTATGAAAAGAAAGTACAGGTGCCCACTCTTTATGCAAATTTGCATTTATTCAGTTACCCAATTTCTACCAGAATTTGCTGTATGCATTAAAAAATTTTTCTTGTGAATTCACCCAACCCCAATCCCATTGTCTTGTAACCATATTCCTTTACAAACTAAACTGGTTTATGCTGACATAAGAAAGAAATAGAGAAAGGGAGAGAAGAGATAGAGGTAGGGAGATATAGATTGACTTGGACAAATACAGGCTGACTGGTTGCTCTTGGAGGGAGGAGGATTATGATTTAATTTTTTTGTGCAGTTTTTTCTCAGCTGTTATTTAACCAATTGCATTAATTTATGGTAGTATATATGGTAGTATACCCTGCCTCGGTGGGAGATGGCCGACTTGTTGAAAAAAAAAAAATGGCTGTTTGGTATCTGTATAGTATGAGATGCTCCAAACTTCAGAACACCCATGACTTAACCTGATTCCTTTCTCTTCTTCTCCTTCTTCCCCTTTCCTCTTTCTCCTTTGGGTTGTCTTTCTTCTGCCATGGGTATTTGTTCCTTCATTATTTATTTTTCCCCCCTCTGTGTTCTTGCTCCTACCCTCTGTGGGCCCCTAGCTTCCTTGCAGTGCTCCTCTTTCTTAGTATTTGACTGGCTCCTCCTCCACCATACTACCTTCTACCTCCACTACTACCACTACCACCTCCTGGCCTATATATCCTCCTTCCTTCTCCCCTTTTCATTAGTGTGACTTTGTAAATGGTTTAAGTCGGACCGAAACATCATCATAAGCTCCTCTCTTCTATGTGCTGGTTATCTGCATATTGTGCCTTTTTTTGTTATTTATGGGTTTTTCTCCAGTTTTGGCTGTGTTAATTATGTAAAGGTTATGATTGAATTTTAGATTTTTTCTCATTTTTTTTTTTTTTTTTTTTTTTTTTGACCAAATGAACTTTTTTCCTAGGTAGTAGGTTGGTAGACAGCAACCGCCCAGGGAGGTACTTCTGTCCTGCCAAGTGAGTGTAAAAGGGAAACCTGTAATTGTTTTATATGATGGTAGGATTGCTGGTGTCTTGTTTTCTGTCTCATAAACATGCAAGATTTCAGGTACGTCTTGCTACTTCTACTTACACTTAGGTCACACTACACGTACATGTACAAGCATATATATACACACCCCTCTGGGTTTTCTTTTATTTTTTTTTTTCTAGTTCTGGTTCTTGTTTATTTCCTCTTACCTCCATGGCAAAGTGGAACAGAATTCTTCCTCCGTAAGCCATGCGTGTTGTAAGAGGCGACTAAAATGCTGGGAGCAAGGGGCTAGTAACCTCTTCTCCTATATATATTACTAAATGTAAAAGGAGAAACTTTTGCTTTTCCTTTTGGGCCACCCCGCCTCGGTGGGATACGGCCAGTGTGTTGAAAGAAAGAATATTACTAAATGTTAAAGGAGAAACTTTCATTTTTCCTTTTGGGACATCCCGCCTCGGTGGGGATACGGCCGGTGTGTTGAAAGAAAGAAAGAACTTCTTTTTATGTCTGTTTGATGCATGTGTGGCAGGCTCATATTTTTTTGGTAAATGTAATGAGAAAATATGGAATTGTCAGTGTCTCAGAACTTATCCCTAAGTTTTAACTATAAAATTGGGTTCATTTTATTTGCCTTAGGTTGAAACGCATCTTTAACATAAAGCGAGGGAACACCTGTACATATTTTGTTTATCAGAAGAATTGAAAAACTTAATCCTTATGTGGCTCATATTCTTATAATAATCTACTTTTGATCATTTGACCAAGCCCTTCCACTGGCTTAGTGTTTTATAAGAGAAATAATTGCTACATCACAAAATGCATGTTTTTAATGAAGGAAGAATCCACAGTAACAAACTTACAAGCTGTTCACTAACAGTAAAACAAGTGAACACACTGGCTGTCTCCTACTGAGGAGATATGTAGATGATTAAAGAAGATTGGTAAGGAATGTAAATTGAGTTTGAATATGAGTACGGGGTAATATGGATATAACTTGTTATCGGCAAGACATCCTTAATTGGCTTGTTAAGGTCTGCTTGCTTGTACAGTGGAACCTCTACTTGCGAGCGCATCCACGTGCGAGTTTTTCCAAATCCGAACAGTTGATGGGTCAATTTTTTGCTTCCATACGCGAGCAAAATTTCCATAAGCGAGCAGACCTCAAGGCAGGTGCCCTGACGCTGGTGAGGGGCTCTTGCTCTTGATCTAGGGAATTGAATCTCATTTGTTTGTTGGACTATCTTATTGAAACCTGGACAATGTATGATGGAAAGATGCTTCTTGACGTAATAATAATAATGTGTAGTATAATAATAATAGTATAATAATATAATACAATAATAATAATTGTAGGTAGTAGGTTGGTAGACAGCAACCGCCCAGGGAGGTACTACCGTCCTGCCAAGTGAGTGTAAAGCAGAATCCTGTAATTGTTTTACATGATGGTAGGATCGCTGGTGTCTTTTTTCTGTCTCTTAAATATGCAAGATTTCAAGTACATCTTGCTACTTCTACTTACACTTAGGTCACACTACACATACATGTACAAGCATATATATATACACACCCCTCTGGGTTTTCTTCTATTTTCTTTCTAGTTCTTGTTCTTGTTTATTTCCTCTTATCTCCATGGGGAAGTGGAACAGAATTCTTCCTCCGTAAGCCATGCATGTTGTAAGAGGCGACTAAAATGCCACGAGCAAGGGCCTAGTAACCCCTTCTCCTGTATAAATTACTAAATTTAAAAAGAGAAACTTTTGTTTTTCTTTTTTGGGCCACCCTGCCTCTGTGGGATACGACCGGTTTGTTGAAAAAACAAAAAATAATAATAATATAATATGTATAATAATAATACATAGTATATATATTAATGTGCTACATAATAATAATTATAATAATAGACGACTTCAAAAGGCCATCACTAGATGGCAGTGTTTACCACAACAAAGAGGGAATGGTTGTGGCCACCTCCACCTGTTACGTAATGATGTATTTTATGCATTCTGGAGTATATATATCAGGTTTCTATGTTTTATATTGTTTATTATTGCATATTAGATGAACTGTGATAGATAAATAAGTTGTAGAGTTGATGATAGCGATATATTCAAGGAGTATTTTGTCCTGTCTCCAAACAAACTCTCGTCGGCCGCTGCTGCTGCCACATATATAATGACACATTTTATTCATTCTAGAGTACATATCAGGTTTCTGTGTTACTTATATTGTTTGTTATGTCATATTAGATGAATTGTGATAGATAAATAAGCCTTAGAGTTGATATTAGCAAAATTATTGAAGTACAGAATTCCACTGGAACGGATTAATTGCATTTCAAATAATTTAAATGAGGAAAATTGACTCTGCAAACGAGCAAATCCAGTCGCGAGCAAGGTCATGGAACAGATTAAACTCGCAGGTAGAGGTTCCACTGTATATACCAAAGGTGAGGCATGAGTGGTGAGCCCAAGTGGGGAGGAATTAATGGAGGAGGCAGCATGAAAAGAAGCTGAATATCCTAGCTTTAAACAGTACAAAGTTAAAGTGGGTGGGAAAATTTGAAGTAATATTAAATGATCAGTTATGGAAGGAGAAGAAGGAAAAGGGCCATCTGAACTCTGATATCATCATGCTTCTGGTAAGATGGACTGAATGAGTGATGGTGAAAGTATTTCTTCTTTTTCAGGTTACCCTACCTCGGAGAAAGACGGCTGGTGTGTAATAAAAAGTATATCCTACTCTTGTTGTCTCAGGTGTAAGTGTTATTGGGGCATAACATGACACTAAAAGTAGTATTCTATCCTGTGCACCTCATGTAATATTTGTGCTTTTCTTCATTCCAGGTATTTTGACTGTATCGATATCTGCAAAGTTCACAACAATTGGTCAGAAGTTCGTGTCACTGGCTCTTTGCCTTCACTGGCTGACCGCCGAGCTCTCACACCAACACTCATAACAGTTCTTGAACCTACTGAAGTGGAGTTCACTTTGTTTCAGGAGGGGCACAGGTAATGTGTGTGTGGTGTATATGATGCAGTTTTTTATTATATTAGCCATTTCCTACAAAGGTAGAGTGACCCAAAAAAGGAAACACTTTCAGCATTGTTCCAGTAGTTCCTTGCCAGTTGTGTGTGTAGACATCACGGTTCAAATGACCCCCCTTTCATTTTCAACATACCCCATCCTAGATAACTTAATAATTGTTTTCTTTTTTTTTTACTGTTTGGGGTTACAGGGTTGGAGGGGGTGGGGGTAAATACTGATACCTTACAGTCTGAGTTTAGAGACAGTAATTCACTTTAAATGTAAACATTAAATGTAAACATTAAAAGTAATCTTCCAGGGTTTGGAGCTGGGGCCCAAAGAGTATATATAGCCTTATGACTCCTCTTTCTAACACAACTACTCTTAGATATCATTGTAACACAAAAAGAGTATATGTATAAAATACACAGTAAGTTTAAAACACTTGAAACTTTGGAAAGTTTCCAGATATAATCGGGAGAGATGTGGAACTCATGTAAAAAACTGAGAGTGGACAGATGGCACATGAATGCCATAATAATGACTCAGGAGCCATGTAAACAAATTTTTGGGTATAATTTGAAATGTCCTTACTAGCAAATCGCTGTAAAGCAAAGCACCGTAAAGTGGGGCCCTCCTGTACATTGAGAGGATAAAAAATTATTATTTTCATTGTACATTTCACACATCTGCTTTTTATTATTGAATTTCTTACTGACTTGCATTTCTCATTACAGAAACTCTGAAAACTCACAAAGATCTCCATTAGATTTGTGTGTGGTATTGTTTCGCACTACGACCACTGCAACTCCTACAGTTGGAGCTCTGGTGAAGCATTCCAAACGGCAAGTGCGGGGCTTTGTCGGCTGCCATGCCATGCTTGAACCTGGGGCATATATTGCTGTATGCTTAGCATTTAACCACTGGCATACGGGTAAGGGGAAATTGTACATGCATTTACTTCATAGTGTATTTATCAACAGTGCTTGTAGGGAGCAACCTTCAACCTGTAGAACAAACCTCTTAAACCACTAATTGGTTAGAGCAAGGTTTGTTCATTGGTATGATTATCATATTTTACGGTGAACAAGACGCTCCAGTGCCGATATTCTAAATTTTGGAAAGGCACTTCGTAAATTTTTGAGACATTTTTGGAAGAAAAGGTAGCGTCTTCGATGCCATAAAATGTGGTACTTATTAAAGTTTGCAGAGAGGTATGGGTGTCATATCTGTTGTTTCAGTTACTCTCTAGAGTCTTATGAGCTCACTAATATTGTTTTTTTTTTACTATGTACATTGAAGAAATGTTTTCTGATATCCTTGTGACTCATTTGAGTATAGTATTTCCAACTATGCACTCTTATTTTTGCTACATTCCTGGTAAAAAGCATGGTAGTCTACATGAGAGTGTAGGCTCTCCATGTATGTAAACTGGTTATTGTATGGTGCAAATATGTTTGTTTCAGTGAATTAGTAAATTATTTTTTTCAACACATCAGCTGTCTCCCACCGAGGCAGGGTGGTCCAAAAAAGAAACACTTTCACCATCATTCACACATAAACACTGTCTTGGCAAATGCATGCAGATGTGAAATTAAGTGCAGGCATTGTACTTCTCACCTCCAGGACTCAAGACTGGCTAACCAGTTTCCCTGAATCCCTTCACAAAATATTACTCTTCTCACAGCTTGTCAAGTTCCAATAACCATTCATCTCCATTCACTCCTATCTAACATGCTCACACATGCCTGCTGTATGTCCAAGAACCTTGCACACAAAACCTTTTTTACCCCCCTCCCCCCATCCTTTCCTAGGACAACCCCTACCCCTCCTTCCCTGTACTACAGATTTATACACCCTCCAAGTCATCCTGTTCTGCTCCATCCTTTCTGATTGACCAAACCACCTTAACAACCCCTCCACAACCCACTGAATAATACTTTGAGTAATTCTACACCTTTTTCTAATTTCCATACCATGAAATCTCTGCATAATATTTATGCCACACATTACCCTTAGACACAACATCTTCACTGCCTTCATCCTCCTCCTCGCTGCAACATTCACAACCCATGTTTTACACCTATATAAAAGTGTTGATACCACTATACTCTTATACATTCCTTGCTTTGCTTGCATGGCTAATATTCTTTGTCTCTACAGATACCTCAATGCATCACCCTCCTTTTTTTTTTTTTCATTATTTTTATGGTTTACCTTGTCCTTCATAAACCCATCCACTGACAAGTCTACTCCCAAATATCTGAACACATTCATTTCTTCCATACTCCCTCCCTCCAATGTGATATCCAGTTTTTCTTTATCTAACTCATTTGACACCCTCTTGACTTTTATGTGTGTTCATTTTCAACTTTCTACTTTTTTTTGTTTAACACATCAGCCATTTCCCACTGAGGCAGGGTGACTCAAAAAGAAAGAAAACCCAAAAAGAAAGAAAAACTTTCATCATCATTTAACACTTTCACCATCATTCAGACATAATCACTGTGTTTGCAGAGGTGCTATAATATAAAAATTATGCCGACTGTATATTTAATTTTGTATAGTAAAATGGAGTTTTCTACTTGTGATCTGTTGTATTAGCTAATTGAAACACTATTGCATGAGAATTTTTTGGGGGTATTTATACATATACGTTTCCCACCCTAGGGTTAGATGTCTCTGATGGCTACCCTGGGTATGTGCTTGCAATTCACAGCAGCAAACGAGTAGCAGTGGAACAGATCACTGCACCAGCCTCCCTCTTAGCTGATTCTCTAATCAATCTATGCCTAGCAAAGGGACAGCGCCACGAAGGACGGCAAGGGATGACTGTTTATTACCTAACCAAGGTAACAATCAAGGCTTTGGACCATTGCTCTTGTAAAAACTATATAATTAATTAAAATAATGAGTTTACAAAGTATTATAGGCAAAAAAATAATGCTGTACATCATGGGTTGCATTTGTACCAAAAGAAAATTAAATTTAAATAATTCAGGCCTGACATACAGTATATGTTGAGCATTGTAGTGGATAAGTGAAAATACTGTAACAATATACCATATCAAACCATACCACGGACGGGATTTAAACCCGCGGTCAGAGAGTCTCAAAACTCCAGACCGTCGTGGTATGGTTTATTTGCAATTGTGTCATTACGATTTCGTGAGTCATGTTAATATACCATATTTCGCGGCTTAGACACACGTTTTTTCCACATAAAACATCTCCAAAAACCACCCTGCTTTTTATAAAGTGATGGTCACTGACAGCAGCTATAAGTTTGGGGTGTGGGGTGGGCTGTATCTCTCCCAGTTACATCTGATGCCAAGCCATTGAAACTAAGACAAGTCTTATCAGCCGCGTCTTGTAAGCCACGAAATACGGTATTACATTCCATGTAGGAATTGTAAGATAGTTTCTTTAGCTTGATACAGGTTGGTCATCACTAACCGGCATCATTGGAACCCGCAGTGTGCCGGGTTAGTGAGTCTGCGGATTACAGAGTGGTTAGGTTAGAATACACTGAATTAACCTATCAATAGAGAGACTGCTACATCTTCCTCATTTTCATCACTGCTTTCTCCTCCACTTGCTTGTTGCTGTGGATTTACAACCATCTGCACAATTTCTGAGTCAGTATAATGATGAAATTTGAGTCAGTATAATGATGAAATTTGAGTCAGTATAATGATGAAATTTGAGTCAGTATAATGATGAAATTTGAGTCAGTATAATGATGAAATTTGAAATTATGCTAGCCGAAATTAGTGCCGGATTACTGATGGAACCGGATAACTGATTGCAGGATTAGTGATGGTCTACCTGTACTAGTTAACCACATGACCAGTGTTTCTCACATACATAAACAGAGTTAAATTTCTGTTTCTGGAAGTTCATTTGAATCAACACAAGTATTCTGTTAGAACTAGACATTAATTCAATGCCTTGTTTCTGTATTTAAGGAACACTGGCCATACGGTTAACTGGAACTACACTAGAATATTTGGAGCTGGCATGTTTTACATTCAGTAACATGCTCAACATGTGTTAAAGTCATTCCTGAATTATTTAAACTTGATATCCCTCATTTTACAGAATTCGATCAGTGGTGTAAAGAGTAACTCCCTCTACCACAAACAGAATACAGTGTATCAAATCTTATTACAGATTCTTGATAGGTTTGCCAGGATTTATGTCCTTTCTGTGTTATACCCTAGGGATGTCTAGAGAGGAGATGTAAAATGGTAATAGCATATTCTTTCTTCAGTGCTCAGCTGTGCAACCAGTGGTCTTGTGAGAAGGCTTGGGTGATGCAGATAGGAAAAACTGATTCATTGCAGTTCTTTCATTGGCATATTCAAGGCTTAGGCAGACTTTATTATAGGGTAGAATTGTATTACTGTTTGTAGAATTACCGACAATATGTAAAGTAAAAGGACACAAGTACAACTATTGTGACATTTTAATGTGGCAACATTTCGCTCTCCAGGAGCTTTATCAAGCTGTTACAAACAATACATGGACACAGAGGGTATATATAGGCTTAGAGTGAGGTGTAATACTAGTGGTGGTGGTAGTAGTAGTAGTAATGTAAGTTGTAATAGTAGTAGTAATACAATATGGAAAAACAGTCAACTTGCACATGAGTAAAAGGTTATAAAAGCTATTACTTGGGTAACATAAAAATAGGTTAGACAAATATTTCTCTTGGTGGTTGGATCTGAGAAGGTCTGTTTCAGTGTTCCTTCTCTATTGTGTTCTTGTGTAGCAGAGATTGTGATGGCAGGGTTTGCTGTTTTGAGGAAGATTTTTGCTAATACTTCAGAGATGATGAAGCTGCCTTTATTTTGTTTGTG